GGAGAAGCGGCACTAGTGGTGAAGGAGAGGAGAGAGAAAGTGAAGGAGATAGACCGACGTTCGCCAGGGTTGTTTGTGTATTTAAGACTACGGGCAGAGCCGACGAATCCGGTAGCGTATTCTGCTTTGTGGTAGGTGATGCTGAAGTTGACCCTGAAGTGAGACCAAGGGGCAGAATAGGGGGTAAAGAAAGGCCAAGCGTCGGAGTAGCTGTATTTTTATTAGAATTAGCTGAGAGAGCAGAGGTAAGATGGCAGATGGCCCTACCGGCCGTAGCAATAGAAGCAGTAGTTGTAGAAGCAAATAAAGAAGCAGTCGCGGTCGCCGAGGTGGATTCTGGGTTACTCAAGGCAGCTGAAGTCGAGATAGGAGCAGTAGAGGGATTTGCCGGACCGTAGCTGGTTGAGTGGAGAAGAGATACCGAAACTGGTTGCGAAGTCGGCAACTGTCCGAGGAGAATAGTGCCATTCTGCTGTGAAATCGCATATACCGCGGTAGCACCGAACAACCCAGGGAGGAGGCTGTGGTCCCCATCCAGCAAGGTAGAAACCATTTGGGTTGGCTGAGTGGAGTTGTTTGGCAAAGCCGTGACACCATCAGCTAAGAAAAGAAAGAAACATCTGGCATTATTGTAGGGTAATAGTAATCAGATGAAGGCATAATCGCAGACGTTCGTTTGAAGGTTGAACAATTAGAAAGTAAGGCATGCTGAAAAAGGGATTCATGCCTTAGTTTACTTAAATCAAGTAGCGAATGAGAAAACGCAACGAAAAATATATAAAGTATCGGTTGTGATGTGATCGGCGCCGCCTGCTTTTGAATCAATATTTTATGTATATAATTTGAATCATTTCGATAAGGTCAAATGAGAAAACGAAACTAAAGGTTCACAAATGTAGCGCAAATAATTGAATAATAGTAAGGTAATATCACCTTTGATAGCCGCCAACTGATCGAAGAATTGAGGAGCGGACAGGGAATGCCTAAGCGTGTTGGCAGTCAACAAAAGCCGATTGTTGCAGTTTGTTGTTGAAAGCAGAGGGTTTGAATTAGTTGCTGGGCTAACGACAGATGCAATCTTGATATCGGACTCTGAAAAAACAATGACAGTGCCATCGATATTACTTGTAGAAGCCCCATTAGGTGGAGCATGCATAGGAAAAGAAAGATGAGTAGTAGACGATACGGTATTCGGAGAAGCCACCGGCGTAATGATGATTGAGTGAGACTGCTGCTGCGTCCTGCATGGCTTAGAAGCTGTGACGGAGCATGAAGCTACAGATGGACTCAGGTTTAGCGAGCGTGGAGTAGCAATAATAAGTGGCGCAAGAGCTGAAGAAATAGTAGAAAATGAAGACTGAGAACTGGATGAACTGACTGCAGATATAAGGTTTGGATTCACGCTTGATAATAAAGGTGGGGAGGCTAATGCCGATGTAGCCTGCTGGCTTTCAGAAAAAGATGCATTTGAAGAAGAGTTGATTGCATATTTGGCTAGAACTTCATCTCGATAAGGCGCCAGCTGACGAACTAGAGTCGCTTTAGTACCTGATCTATAAAGACCGCGTTCACGACATTCAGCCCTTAGCTCGGTTAATTTCAGTTGTTCTAAGCCGTTACTTGCGGATGGATCAAAATCTAAAGTATTTTCACCTAAAAAGGTCGTGGAACTTGTATGAAAACCCAGACATGAGTCAGCTTGATCAACGGAGTAAGATTCAAAATTTTGAAACTGATCTTCCTCACTAGCATTACGGTTATTTCTCATTGTTTTAACCACAGGGCAAGGAGAAGAAATTATAGATGGAGAGGCCGGAGAATTATTTAAGCGCCAAAGTTCTCTTTCCACACAACGCCTAGCTTGGGCCGTATCTTGCAGGTGCAATAGTTCAGCCTGTTGAGCCTCTCTAGCTCGTTGCTTAACTTGTAATACGTAGTTACTTGAAGCGGTGTTGCTTTTGGAAGAAGTTGGCTGGTAGTTATGAAAGACAAAAGAACCTAGACGGTAAACGACGGTTTCCTCCCGAATAGAACGGCTTGTAACAGATCTACCAGATGCCGAAGTGTTGCGTTCTCTATTAGAGTAGGTGGTATGTGAGGCAAGCTGAGGAGTATCATTAAGTGTATTTGAAAGCTGATTGCATTTAGTTTGAGGTTGGGTTAATCCTTTTTTGATCGCATCCTCATGATACTCCGGTGTTTCCGCTATGACTTGATTAGGCAGGTCAACATGGTTGTTTGATACGGTACTTCCGCAATTATTAGCATTAAGATTAGATGAGGCAAATACATTTGAATCGAAAACTGAGGATGGAACATTGGAGGACTTGACTCTTGGATAAGCAATTGAGCCGCGTCGAATGAGTGAGTCAACCCCTGGATCCACCTGAAATGATAGAGTTAGCACAAAATCACATCAGAATGTAAAGAAATTCAAAAAAGCGAACAAATACCTGAAGGACACCCTTTTCCACTAGCTCTAGACTTCCTGGCCGAAGAGCAAGCTTGCTGTTTAATGATTCTTTCAATTGATGTTTTTCGAGATTCTGACATTTTTCAAAAATAAAAGGGGAAACGCCAGACTTATCGTCTAAGAAAAATATATTTAAAAAACTAAATACCTTTTAATATCCTTCTGTTTATTAGATATTGCCGATCAGGACGATGCTCAATTTTATGTTTAAGATAGTCGCTAGTCTACACAGAAATTAAATAATTCACATTTACTCTTGCTCGCTGAAGTTGTCGCACCTTGTCAGGATTAGATATCAAGGCTATGAACAGATTAGCATGAAAAAACTCACGATTAAGAAGGATTCCTTGATTAACTAACTCACGAACAGAGCGCCTGCTACGGAGGCCCTTTTCAAGTGCTTGAAGAGAATGAAAAGGATAAAACTACCTTCTTTATATTTAAGCCTATTCACTTGTATAGAGCTAACTTCCGTAGAAGCCTGAGGGCTAACAGGCTTTCTCCCGTGAAGATCCATTGAAAGGTTATTGATTATTAATAATTCATCTCAAGAAAACAATCGATAATTAAACAATGACCCTCGTTTATGTTATAAGCTCATTTTTAAAGCATAATAAGTACCCTAAGGGAACATTTATATAAATATTAAGTCAAAACAAACCTTTGAAAATTAAGCAAAACGAACCAAGAAGCTACCTGGTCATTATTTGCGCGTTAATAGCCTGATGTAGAATGAACAGACTAAACACCACCAAATAGAATATGCACATTTTCTCTTATTCGTTATACCTGAAGAATTATTTTATTTATTAATAAAATATTGTTAAATTTGCAATCCAAATAGTTTGCTTTTTATTGTTTTGATATATTTACAAATCGTCCCTCTTATTTATACACTCCGTCACTTTACTCAAAGTACGAAATTTGTAGATTTTTTAAATTTTAAATTTTTATATTGGCTTGTATAGCTTAAATAGTGAGCTACCTTTTACTCTTGAAGTAGGTAATGCAACATTGTAAGTTAATTAAATTGACGGTTGAAAGTAGGAAGGTTATATGACAAATATATAAATTAAATGTCCGGGACTTGTCTGAATTTATAAATTTTACATCTATATGGAACAGGGGTATGAGGAGACTTCTTAGCACGTCCATAATCAATTCAATACCATGGACCAAATGTTCTAAAACTATAATGTTATTATAACGATTACGAAGTATTATACTTTTTCTTTCTTATAAAGTACTGCATAAATAAAAGCCAACAATCGCCAGAAAATTATCTCTCGCCTACAATTTGCTTCCATTGTATGTTCCCCTTGATATTGAATGAATACTTTAAACAAAAGAGTCAGGATCACTGTAAATTATTTACAATGGAAAACGGATACTTTTCTAATTATGTATTACGCCGTAGTACTCACGTTATATACGTTTTCTATTACTCAGGTATTTTGAAT